TAAACTGTTGCGACAGCAGCGGCAGATAAAACAGCACAGCCTGCAGCATCAACAGCTTGGTAAACAAATTTCCATTTGGTGCTGAACATTTTTGCAACAAATCTGCCCGAGAACCCTACTTGTGTGTGTGTGTGTGTGTGAGAGTGTGTGTAATGTTATACAAATTTCCTGATTTATTGTAAAAGTTTTTATGCGCATTTCAGTTTCTGTTCAAATAGTTGAATGCGATATGTGTGCAAAGTGTTCTGTGTGTTGACGGGCACATGACAGTCAGACTGCAGATATTTATATACACAGCTCCAAACTTATACAAATACGCTGCCCAGTGTGCAAAATGCAATTAGAGCAAGCTAAAAGTTAAAACGTTAAAAGTGATAAGCGAAGGTCATCATGAACCTAAGCTTTCCATGCGAAAAATGTTATATTTGGTAAATATTCGTAAATATACACACATGTTGCTTATTTTCGCCTGCAGGTATAATTTAATATTCTAAGTATCAAATTCTATAGATGAATAAATAAATATGGTAAGTGGTTTAACAAAAAAGAAAATTATAAAACTTAAAACCATTTTTGAGGCTGATTAAGTTAGGAGTTTTGCTTGCAGTTAGGTGATATATCCGATAAGAAATATTTTCACAGAAATAACTCTTTAACCGAAATTAGATGAAAATTCCCTCGACCGCAAAAGTATGCAATAAGAAATTTTTGGGAATCAACAAAGCAAAGTTTATTGAACTCTACCACAAAGCAAAGTTTATTGAACTCTACCGCAAAAGAAAGTCAGCTTATGCTCATTTATATACATTTCCGTAGCCATAAGACAAAACAGGGATTACTTTCAAAACTGCGTGTAAAGTCAGCTTAGAATTGTCCCCAAACTTGGCGGGACATTTCTCTTGATCAATGTTGTCTGAATGTTTTTAATTTCAATCTTCGCTCTGCTTTTCAGGCTGGGTGTGTGTGTCATCTTGATTGACAAATTGAAACGAATAGCTGAAGATATATCAGACAAATGCCGAATATATTGATTTTCGTCTTGGAAATAACGAGGCCAGAGTGTGAGAGCAAGGAGGAACTTCATAGAAACAGATGTTGCTGCTTTTGATGTGAGATGAACTTAATTTATCCAGTTTCGGCTACTCAATTCAGCAGTTTGGCTCAGTTTCGTATGAGCTGAATTATTAATGAAACCCCGCAAAAAGAACAACAGGAGGTCAGCGCCGGAGTGAATTTATTGCGGGCCGACAGTTGTATTGTGTCAAAATTTGTTGCCAAACGAATGCCAGAACAATAGTAAATTAATTAACTTGGATCGCAACCAAAAGGGCCGAGAGCGGCACGTGCTGCAAATGTATAATCACTAATTAAAGCGGTTGCAGCCTTAAAGCCAACAACTCGACTTGAGCTGCTCGTTGGCATATCTTATCTGCCAGTTGGCCCGGCCAAGCCAAGTGGAAAGCATAATTCGCGATTTGAGTCCTGGGAAACAAAAGGACCGCCGAGCAGGGCACAAGAGGACACCTCACTCGTCTGTTGATAATTACAAGGACAAGCAGATAAGGATAAGCGACAACTGCAGTCCATTCACCAAAACCTAATTCAACGAACAATGGGCCAAAGTCGGGCCAGATGGGAACTATGCTGATGATGTTGACGATGACAAAAATGGGATACCAAATTGCAAACAATGCGGCAAACTTTTCCGGCTCTTAATTAAGCCGCAAGCTATGAGAGAAAGTACCAAGGTGGAACAAGAGGCGGCAGAAATGCGTTTCGACTTTTAAATTACGCATACGCGACGTGTGACACAGTTGATTGTCCATCAATCTGTCAAAGTGTTCATCAGTTTAATAAAAAAAAAGCCTGTGTATACAAAGAAAAAGAGAATTTTTGCATTTCTCTGCAAGTATTTTTTTTTTAACAAGTATCATAATGAATTATTTCAACTGCTATGCGGATCGAATGGCCTTTCAACCTTTAATTGGTTTTAATGAAAAGAATATATAAATAATTGAACCCTTTATTGTATTAATTAAATAAGAACCTTTTTTTGTTACCTGTGACAATAAAATTGTTTAGTAATTCGATTAAAAGGATGGGGTTAAAGAACTTTTGCGGTTTCGTTCATCACAGAGTGAGCCAAACCCAATTCGCAAAGCTGGAAAAGTTGGAAACCATTCGGTGAAACAAACTGAATGCTATCCAGCGGCATTCACTCCATCTTCTGGCTGTCTGGAAAAGCTGAACTCCCTTTACTGCCCCACATTTTCTATCGCAACTTTCCTGCTGTGCGGAAAAATAGCGAGTATAATCGCAATTATTTCTACCTGCCGGCACTTTTAGCACATTCCAACGGGCAAAACTATGTGCGAATATTTCTTCGACTGGAAAATGAAATAGTGAATGCCAGAGAGAGCCAGAAAGGTGCAAAATGGGAGGGTGGGAAATTCAAACTTTGGAAAGTTCTGTTTGGGAAACACTTAAAGCTGTTGTGGTGTTTGTTTTCTATAATCTGATACAGCAGCAAGATTATCATAACATAACAATTACTATTTTCTAAATATCTTTGTTGTAATATTATATATGGTATCATTTTAAATAATCAATATTGGTCAACAATATTGTCCCTCATTAGCAGTGAAAATGCAGACAATTGATTTATTTGTTTTAACAACTGTGTAGAATGCATTGCTTTCATTAACCTGTAATTAAAAATGATTTAACTCAATGGCCGTGAGTATAAAAGGAATATTAAAATAATTAAACAATTAATTGGTACAAGAAAACCTGGCACATGAGCCATAAATAATCAAATGTACATTTAATTATCGCTATTTAATTTGAGCCGCACTCCAAGAGCATAGCAATTGACAGAAGTCATTAGGTAAGTAAATTTTAAATTCAAAATATGAAAGGATGTAAAAATCTGGTACATTTTTGTAGGTTGAATATCAAGCGGAGGGGAAGCTTCCTGGAAACTGTCAAATAGATGCCAACAGTTACTGCCACTCAGTCAGTTACGATTTTGCTCTTGCAGCGTGTCCTTTTCTCCTTGGGCCAGTCTTTGTCTCCAGAGGAAGAGTTATAATTTTCCTGCGTACCCGGGCAACTTTTCACTCAGCCCAACACAAACATACGTGCATATACATATAAACATAAAAATATATACATACATACAGAGATAGTTATTTTCCACAATGTCTGATGTGTTTGTCTGCGAGTTGCTTTTGTCGAAAGCAACTGCAACTTATTTTGCATATCTTAAAAAATAGAACATACGCAGATCCCCAAGCAGCCTCGGTCCGCGCCAGAGACCATTATAATACAATAACATTGAAGGAAGTTGGGGGAAAAGGGATCTGAGAGCCAGAGGGCCTTAAGGCTGCGGTTTGATAGCGACTCGAGTGCAGCCGCTGTTGCTGCCATAAAGTTTTTGGTCTATAAGGAAGTTATTGCACTTCCCCCTCCGCTTCCATTTTGGCCAACGACAAAATTCATATTTCACAAAAAAAGATGCAGCATTTTATACTCGCTCTCTCTGGCAATGAAAGTGATTACGGCGATATGGGGCTCAGAAAGCAGTCCTTGGAGAAGTCACTCAAGTTGTCTTCTTGAAGTTTACCCGGAAGTTAATGAAATGAGACCACAGACAAACTGGAGGAACGGAGTGCAGCTTAAAGCCAAAGTTTTTCGGAATGCTGCCGAGAGTGTTTTATTTGCGAGTAACTGCAAAACTATAACAATTATAGCAGAATAGTTGTTACCCCTTTGACGCTAAAATTGTACGAAGGCCATCTCATTTTTTTAGAGACGATTGCTGGAGCAAATTAAGTCAGTAATGGAAAATAATGGTATAGTAGAAGCATTTCCAAGTTTAGATTTTGTATAATTTAGTAACTCATGTGTTCTGCAAGGCATTCCTATTCAATTTAAAGTTTCTGAATTCTTATTTGCAAGTATAAACTTGTACCAGTCCGAAAACTCCTTTCATCGCAATTTTCAGAAGTGCAGAAGCCTTACTTTAGTCAGTTTTTAAAATATGCCCACATAGTTGCATGGCAGACACTATTTCGAAAATTTTTTAATCTACGGTTTTGTTTTTTTTAGACGAGTGCGAGTGGCAACGAGGGCGATGGGTTGGAAAGCACTCTCGCATTACTTTTGTTTTAATATTGCAGCAAATGACTGAAAGCAACCCGGCATATGTGCGAACATTTTATATGACTACTGCCACACACGCGAGTTATAGTTCTCTGCCAAGGAGTCCTAGTGTGAATTGGTGTCTGCCAGAGTCCGGTTGTCAAATTTCAAGAAGAGTTTGAGTAATTAGACGTAAGCCTTTGAGTTGATTTTCAAGACTGAATTCATATATTCTTCAGCGGTGACCAAGTTGCCACCGCTGCCGAGTGTACATAAGTTCTTGTACGCTAATTCATTGATTGCTTAAACATAAAATACAAAGTGAAATAAACGAATGTTTACAAAGAATTCCTCCAACGTCTGCTTGTGTCATCTAACCAGTGCTTTGGGGTAGGGGCATCCTGTTGCAGTGTCAGAAATCTTTCGGCGGGGCTACGACTCAAGTGGTCGTTGTCCCGGTTTGGGCTGTTGTTCAGATTGCAACATAATTACAATGCAAAGTAAGTGGGCACCCGGTCAGTGTACCAATTCCAGGGTAGCTCTGGGGGGTTTAGCCTGTCCTTGCGGTAATGTTGCTGTCGTTACTGTTCCCAGTTCTTACAGAGAGCCATTGGAGCGTGCAGGTGCGAAAAAAACGTAGGAATAAAAGCGACGACAACGCAGAACACAATTCGCTAGCCCCAAGAGTACCTTATGCCCACCTAAAAATGTGCAGATATTGTGGTGATCGGGTCGACGAAGCAGAAATGTCTCAACATCTTAAAACGTGTGAGATTAGTGAGGACAGAAAGGAAAGATTTAGGTGTAAAACATGTAAAAAAGGGAATACGGAATTACAAGTACAGATGTGGTTGAATGATTGTCAAAAATTTATTATCATATTGAGCTTGTTAATTCACTAATTGTTATTTTTTCTGTAGATATGTTATATTTAATCGTTGATCCGTTTTTAATAAAAAAATCTATAAACTGTAGTAGTGTACACTGTGTTGTGTTTCGTGATGTGTTTCGTGATGTGTTTACTTTTTAATCAATTCGTTTGAGAGGAATTCCGGTTTCGAAAGCGATTTTGGTTAGAAGAATGGAACGGTTTTCACTGGTCATGGTCATGGTCTTGGTTTGAGCCTTGGTTCCTACTGTAAATGGCCAGTATTTTTGTAATGTATAGCCAAGTCCGTGTTGCCCTCAGGAGTACATGTCCATTTATTGGTGCCTCGATCGCATTTATACTTCAATGATTTGGCAAGACCTTCCCGCGTGAATTGACATTTATTGGTTTGACTCGGCATGAAATCGGATTTGCCCGATACATCATCATATATCAAAAACACTGTGCCAACATTTGGATCGATGGGTGCTCTTGGGTTTGCTTGCCTAAAACGCCTGACTTGAGCAGAGACGCTCATGGCAATCAATTCCCTTTCCCTTCGTGCCGCTGCCGTATTGACACGGGGGCGATGTTTCGATCGTTAAAATAAGCAACGTGTTTCTGAACGAAAGAGTCTTGCGGACAACCGCCGGTTTTTCCATAGCCTGTTATCCTTCTTGGATTTCCTTGAAAGTTATCTCGTTTGCAATCGTAAATGATAGTAAGTTGGAAACCTTTTTGCGGACGTGGACTCATATAGTCATACGTTTCTGATGCGAATTTGAAGTTGCAATTTCGTTCTAAATCACACGCCATCTTTGGCGGATACCGTGCACTTTCGGCATACCTTTCACCATCTTTATTATCAAATAGAATACCCTTATTAACCACGATATGATGCTTCTCACCACACTCTAACGTAACCTCTGTTGGCGGATCTGTTAAGATGACATTCGCTGTATGTGCGCTTGCATATGTCTGTACAAAGAAAAGATGAAAAAATATGAAAACCAGAGAACTTTGCACTTATACAGCTTATTAACTGTACATCACGAAAATACGAGAAAAATTACATGTTACGTGTCAAAATAATTTTTTTGATTAAAAAAAAAAGAAACGTAATTTTAACTTACTGCATTTTGCAATAATGACAACACAAGGATCGGGCCCAGAACTGCTAAAGTAATCGCTTTCATCTCAGCTGTAGCGACGATGAATAAAAACTGATGTTTGTTTGCTCAAGACAAGGCTTTTTATAAGTAAATCATCGTCTCAAAATGAAGTCTAGCAGCGGTAAGGTTATCAAGCTGTGCATTTGACATCAAGTCACTTGTTTATGTGTTATTCTTTTATAATGTGATGATCTCAAGAGTCAATACGAGTGATTGTGTGAATGGACATTTCTATGATTTCTGTTTCATCATTCGAACGGTTTTTCCAATTTAGACTTTTGCAATTATTTTTATTTTCATTTTTTTTCACTTCTTTCTTTGTCGCTCGAAAATATCCTTGGTTTGTTGTCAATTGCTGAAAATGAACACGCGCTGAAATGGGTTTTTTGTTGTCAATCACTCAAAAACAACATGCACTGAAATCAGCTTTCTGCTTATCACTCGATGATAACAACATCTACTGAATTAAATAGCTGTACGATTTTACTAGAAAATAAATAAAATTTATTACTCAGTGTATTAAAATATAACGTTTCAGAGAAGTGATTGTGTCGCATATCAAGTTCTCTGAAACGTTGTATTTTAATACACTGACGAACGAATTTTATTCTTTAACTGGGAAAGTCTTATGACTCATTAATTAGACATTTAGATAATGAGAAACGAACAATTTCAACATCTGCTAAAATAATCAAGATCCGCTTAAAAGCATATGATTCCTTTTATTCGGGCAGAACAACTTCAAGAGCGCTGATAAGACACATACCAGGGGTGTTAGTTGAAGTTTGCCGGTTTGACTGTTAGATGTCGCTAGCAGTACTAGTACATTTGTATCATTCAGTATATGTGTCATTTTTTTCTGTTGACATTAACCTCAAAAAATACACAATTCGCATTCCGTCAAAATAAAAACGTCATAGTTGTTTACCTCAGTGAATATGTCGAGTTTCGTTGCAAGTAAATCGCATTTGCGGCACCAGTGCGGGACCAGTGTGGTGTGGTGTACTTCGAGTTATTGAAACCTGGTGAAACGGTTAATAAGGATCGCTACCGACAACAAATTATCAATTTGAATAATGCGTTGATCGAAAAACGGCCGGAATGGGCCCGAAGACATGGCAAAGTTATCTTGCAACATGACAACGCGCCGTCTCATACCGCTAAACTGGTGAAGGACACATTGAAAGACCTTGATTGGGAAATATTATCGCACCCGCACTCTCCAGACCTCGCCCCGTCCGATTATCACCTTTTTGCGTCAATGGGACACTCACTGGCAGAGCAGCGCTTCGCCAATTTTGATGAAGTCGAAAAATGGCTCGTCGAATGGTTTGCCTCGAAAGAAAAAAAGTTTTTTTGGAATGGTATCCATAATTTGCCTAAAAGATGGGAGAAATGTGTAGAAGCCAATGGTCAATACTTTGAATAAAAAATTTTTCACATTCTCTTGAGGATTAAGTGTTCTTTTTATCGAAAAAACCGGCAAACTTCAACTAACACCCCTGGTACCTATACATAACCGGAGCACTACTGATACAAGTAGAATATGCATATGAAAACCGTGTGCTCGTAGATAAGAACGAATTTCAGAATTATGAGCTGTCGGAATTTTTGTCCATTCGTAAAATTGGCAGTCAGAGAATTGAATTAAAATGTTTTGTTTCAATGTTTCAAGAACTTTGGGCTGTCGGAATTTTAGCCGATCGGAAAATTGAAGTCGGAGAATTGACCGTGAATGGAAAACTCCTTTTTCAGAAGTGCAGAAGCCTTACTTTAGTCAGTTTTTAAAATATGCCCACATAGTTGCATGGCAGACACTATTTCGAAAATTTTTTAATCTACGGTTTTGTTTTTTTTAGACGAGTGCGAGTGGCAACGAGGGCGATGGGTTGGAAAACACTCTCGCATTACTTTTGTTTTAATATTGCAGCAAATGGCTGAAAGCAACCCGGCATATGTGCGAACATTTTATATGACTACTGCCACACACGCGTACCCCAGATGGAAGGCGACCATTGTTTTATTTTTTGGGTCTGGCCAGGCTGTCCCGTCGACAGCAGCGTCCACACGAAGAGGAGCGCTTCTGATGCGGATGTGTTTTATGCCCTCCCCATCCACCCACTTTTGCGTGGGTGTGTGCGTGCTCAAGTGGGTGAATTTGAGCGTGTGTGTGCTTGTGTTTGTGTCTGTTCGGTGCGTTCGCTTTCCTTTTCTGGCTTCCAAGGCCACAGAATCAGCGCGCATATAGAAGCAGGGCGTGTGTCTGCATTTCGCACACCCAAAACAGTTTCAAATTATGTTTGAAAAAAATTATACGAGAAAAAAAATGAACAGCGTGTAGCTGCGCACAGAGTTGCAATAAAAAAGTTTTCGTGATTTCCCTCAACAATAAAATAACTGTGCGGGAAAAATAGTAAATACTTTTATTAAAACGTTTTGCAGCTTATTTTTTCCACCAACTTGGGTAAACATATTTCAACTTTTATCATTTACATTCGCCTCCACGTTACTCCGCAACGCTCCCATTACCATCGGAAACCTCTCATGCTCAAAGCAATTAATAATAAGTTAAGAGCTGGGGCAAAAAGTAGTTCCTGATCATATAATAATGCTTAAAAAAAACCCGGAAATTTATTCATGTGAATGACTGGCTGTAAAATTAAGATTGGATTTATTGGTGCTTATACTATGGGATTTTAATTTTTTATGATTTTCCAAATGATTTGTTGATTATAATAAAATATAAAGTTAGGGCATATTTTAAAGGTTGGTATTGTGGTACTTTATTTTTTTTTTGCACTTCCAGTTTTAAAATGGTAACTAAATTATAAAAATGTATCTCATTATTCAAATTAAACCATTTAGTCGTATCAGCTAGGTTTGTATTTCTTTCTAGGTCGCTTGTTATGTGGGTCAAATGTATATTCCCGTTAAAAAATGAATATCAAATCCAAGAGAGTGGTAACTAGGGACCAGGCTCAAACACCCCAAAGGACTAGAACCCACAGGAGGAGAGGTGTAATAAAAATAACAATAAAATATCACTTACAGTAACAATGGCCCCTGTCAATGAACAAAAAATAGGGGAATACAATCGGAATCAGGATGGAATGAGCTTAGCCAAACAAAGGGAGAAATTGAACAAAAATCAATCAGTTGATGGAATGCTTTCAAAAAAATTACAATAATCACAAATGCATTTAATGGAATTCGACGCGTATACCCAGGGAACGACAAGGGGGAATGCTGTGCACATATTAATATTCTTGATTTGTCCAGATTGATTCAAATAGCTGAGGAATGTTTGCATTAATCCAATTAATGGTTACATTTGATTTTTGTTGTAAAATTGTACAGTTTTGTTCGCCTTATTAAAGCCTTTATCAAGTGTAAAGTTATGGTAGGATTCTCCAATTGGATTGGATTGCACGATATATTTATGGTCCATTTTGAGGCTCAAATAAAATGTCTAGGCAGCCAGCGGAAATGGGTATTAGACACGTTTCTTCGTGCTGCGGACATCAAAGCAAAATTTATGTATTTGAGTCAACATCTTAATTACAATTTTTCCAGGACGAAAAAAGGACTCCTTGAATATCAAAGATGTCAGAAATAAACAGCCGAATGTCAGGCAGCCAAGCCAATTACAACATGCCAAAACCAAACATATGTTAATGACAAATATCTAAGGTGACTTTAATACGTGCCGTAAAATAGAGGCTTTTCAAAATATAAAATTTTGGAATGGTATATTTATATTTTTTTTAAATACCAATAATGCTATTAACTATTGTACTATCACTTCTTCTTTTCATTCTTTTTGCAATTTGCTTCCGCTGCCTTTTTGTCCGCTTCCCTAATAAAGTTGCAAATTTCCGATGAGGAGAAAGACTTTGGTCTCTCGATTGGAGCTCCCAAAGCTCGTGACCATATAAACTGGGCTTGAACACCTATAGCTCGGGAAACGCCGAAGAGGACCGTGTAATATTGCAGCTCATTTAGGCAGTAGTGCTGCAGCAGGACACCTGAATGGGCGTCCACATTGGGATACGGATTCGCCACCTTGTTGAGATTCTTGAGAACCTCCGGGATAATCTTCCACAAACGAGTTACAAGCTTCACACCGGGGTCATCCGCGCAGTGTTTCATGGCAAACTCGTTTTGCAGTACGAAACGCGGATCGGTGTCCCGCAGCACTGCGTGTCCATAACCGGGAACTACCTAAAATACAAAAAGGTATATCGTTATAATCAAATATAATCCTAACAAAAGTATTTAGTTTAAAAAAATAATTGTGTAATAGCATGTCCAAATTAATACAACTGAAAGCAGAAAGTTTTGGAAAGAATATCAACAACAAGAATATAAAACAAAAAGAACCTTTAAAAGATATTTCAGACTTTTAACGATACTTCAACTTTTTTAATTTAATTTTAAAAAATTAAATAAGATTATTTTAACAATATTTTTTTTTGATAATTCCCTAAAGATTTTTTTTGACATATTTTCTTAAATTATTTTCAGTGTACCCCTGATATCCCGCAGCTATCATAGATAGCGTTTTTCAAGATAATCTATGCTAATAACACAACTCATAAGCCGACTCACCTGCCCGCTTTTCAGTGTATCGTCGATGAACTTTTTCAGCTCGTCGTCGGTGGGGTCGTCGCCAATTGCCTTCCTGAGCTTCGTCAGCCAGACGAGCACTTCCTGGTTGGCCAATCCGTGGAGTGGTCCAGCCAGGCCGCACATGCTGGCCGCGAAGGAGAGGAAAGGATCGCTGAGAGCCGAACCGACCAAGTGGGAGGTGTGGGCGGAAACATTGCCGCTCTCGTGATCCGCATGCAGGACCATATAAAGTCGGATGAGGTCGACGAAGTCCTTGTCGGAAAGTCCGAGCATGCGGCAGTAGTTGCCCGACCAATCCTCCTCCTCGTCCAACTCCCGGGATCCCTCGCCGTCCTTGAAGACGTTGTTGTAGATGGCCGCCGCCACGGTGGGCAGCATGGCGATCAGGTTCATCGAGTCCTCGTAGGTGTACTCCCAGTAGACACCCCGCTTGGCTCCTTTGTTGTAAGCCTCCACGAACTTGCTTTGGGCAGTTAGGCAGGCGCAGGCGGCGCACAGCTGGGCCATCGGATGCACACTCTTGTCTATTGAGTCGATCAGCCGGAAACAGTAGTCTGGCACATTTCCACGTGTCAACCACTCCTGGGTGACCTGCTCGGCCTCCTCCTTGGTGGGCATTGATCCGGTGGTCAGGAGGTAGAAACAGCCCTCCGGAGTGCCCTCCTGGGTTCCCTCGATCACCCGCGGAAGCTTGGCACACACATCCTTCAGCAAAATGCCGCGGTAGAAGATTCCTTTGTTTTTGTCCAGGCTGAAAAAATAGTAGAATATAGGGGTCAGAAATATTTCGAATCGAAAAGTATTCGCTATACAGTTTTTAGCTTTGTATATTATTTTACTCATATTTTTTACATCATACATTTAAAAGCAAGCTTATACTATTTAATCAAAAACAGAGAAAAAAAATGTAAAAGACATTGTTAGTTAAGAAAAAAAACTTTTGTAACAGTTTTGACAGTTTTAAAAATATTTATCAATCAGTAAATATTTTTAATCAAATAGGTAGTAAAAATATTGAATTAAAACGGAAAAAAACATTCAATTGTAATGTGTAGATTTTTAGAAGATTTTTTAGCTTGAGGAAACCTATCCATGAAAGAAAAAAAAAACAATTTTAACATACCTGGAGGTCTCACAGAACAGGAGCGGAAGTCCTCGCATTCCGCCAATTACACTGTTTACGCTGATCTGGCCAATAATTTTATGGCCATGCAGACACTTGATACCCAAAAACTTGTTACGCTCCTCGGGTATTTTTTTGGCCAACTTACTCTTTATACTTGTGTCTTCGCCGCTTTTGCATTCACAATACAAACGCTTTTGGATGGCCTGCAAAGATATTTAAGAGAAAGCTGGGATTGGATTATTTTATATATTGGCACCTTAATGCTGTTTTTGCAGCATCTGCATGTAATATTTTTCAGCATGATGGTGTTAATTTTTAAGACCGAAACATTTGGTATTGCAATTTGGAATTTTAAGAATAATAGAAGATAAGTGATTTGACACGTAAGCCAAAGACTTATGGTTGCTAAAGTCAAAAAGTATAAAACACATATCTAGTGATTAGAAAGTGATTTTGGTAACCAGTAACAAAACAGTCCTTATTTTAGGGAATTTCTTAGTTCTTCCAGCTTCTAAACCTATTTTACGAACATAAGCACCAATCATTTTCTCAATAATAACTGATTTTACTTTTGTCTCTTTTGTACTCAGATTTAAAAGCAATATTATTTAAAGGCAATTTCATGTGGTTGACAAAGGCCAGAGGAGCTAAACCATTGGCTGCAATTTGTTGTGTGTTTCAAGGGACCAACTTTAAGCTGCAACCAAAATTAATTCTTGTTTGTTTGTCGCTTAACGAAATTTGTGGGTCATTTGTGCGGCACCAAAGCCGGAATGCAGTGAACACAGCAGCCCACCCACTGGCACACACTCTCGTTTTCAGCTGGGAAAACTCTGTATGAAATTGCAAAAAATTAAATATCTATTTGTAGTTTCGGGCATTGGGGAATTTTGCGTTACTTTGGCTCATCTGACAGAAACAGAGAGAGCGAGTCGAGGATTTCGAGTGAGTGAGTGGAATTGGTACTTTGCTAGCGTTTTTCATCTGCCATTGCCCATTGGGCTGCACTTTGGGGAATTTTTCGGTTTTTACTGGCATTGCCTCAACCCGGCAAATTTATATTTGTTTGTTTGCCGTTCTGATTTTGTCCAGCTTTGGGGCAATCAGCGCACAAAAAGGCTGGAGTGAGATAAAAACTATATAAAACTTTGCTTTTAATTAAAACATATTTTACATACACATGCAACGCAAAATAAAACCGTATAAATATAAAAATATTTTTGCACTGCTTCACTAACAGCCATCAAATGGAAATTAAAACTTTATCGCTCGGTAGATCTCGCCCCGCTTTTTGTGAACCTTTCACTCCGCGGATGTTCTGTAAATGGGCATTCAGTCAACAAGTATTCCACTTTGACTTTATCCATTCATTATTCTCCTTTTTTTTGTGCTGGCAAGTTTGCCATTTTATTAATTAACATTCAATTAGCGAAAACGATGGCGGCCTTTTCGCATTCAAGTGGCATTTAAGCTATTCACAATTTTGAAAGCCGGCCATTCAAATGGTTAAATAGAGCCTGCTTTTCTAAATTCAAAGTTTTTCCATAAAATACGATCCGCTTTTTTCGCAGTTTTAGTTTTATCTCTCTTTCAGGTGCTTTTAGTTTGTGGCATTCAATCTTTTCGGCTGCCAACACTGTGAGAAATACAATGCATTAAAAATTGAGTAAGTAATTGAATAACAAATAAGTGAAAAAAAATGTTTTTTGCTATTGTTGTATCTTTTAACTTTAATTAAACTTTGGTCAAGTAAAGAAATCAATACAAAAAAATATTAAAATATTTTCACATGCTAAATTTTCATCCAATGACAAAATGGTGTCCTAAATCACTGGTTGACCTAAATTACAATTTTGTAGAGCCAAGCCAAAAAAATAAAATTATACGTCTGGTTTTAAAGCCATATTTTCTATTTTTTCTGAGTGCCATGAATTTGGCTGCATGTCCATGTTGTCCTCCATAAATTTCCCGGCTTGAGTTTTTTTTTCGTGTTGCCTTTGGTGTTTGGCTCATTACAAGTTTAAATAATTTCCTTCGCCCCACCTCCTCTTTTGCTCCTTTGTTTGCCGTTTTTGCCCGGAATGGCGAAGGCAAAAGCTTAAAGTGGACACCGCCCTTGAATGCGAAATCGAATTTCGCACTTAAGCAGCTGTCAGCAACGGTATCTATCTTGGCCCAAGTACCCAACCCGCCACGCCCACGCCCACGCCACTCGACTCCCCTTCGTTTTTGCTTTGCCGAGAAAAGTTGCATCATGGACAAGTTGCAAGCAAAAAACATAGGAGCGAAAAGGTTGCAAACAATTTTGTTGCCCTAATGCATAATAGAAAGTGTCGTATCCATGACAGCCAAACTTTAAAATCATTTTATTAACTTAACTTTGTTGCCAAGCAACTATAAAAAAAAATTCGAAACTCAGAGATTCTTGGCCCGAGAGCGGTCAAATAAATGGAACGATATTCGTACTTGACAATATTTAACTTGGGGTTTTCTCCCCAGAGCTTATTTGAGTATACACATCGAGGGGATGGGGAGGCAATATGTTTTCCCTGCCGGAACTTAAGTTGGGTTTCACTTTCACTGGGTGGCGATGGGATTCCTTAAAGTTGAGAGGAATGTCATATGCAAATGCAATTACAATACTTTCAGCATCGCTTTCTTATTTTCCTTGGGCGAGCCAATCGATGTCTCTTCTTTTTCCCCTCTTGATGATGGGTTCTCTATGCGATTGAGTGTTCGGGGTGCTTCTCCAGGAACTTTGACGTTTCTACTAATGAAAGTTCGTCCTCTTACGTGCGTATGTGTGTGTGTGTGTGTGTGTGTGTGTGGAAGTGTCAAGGAGTTTTAGCTTAGGTGGATATTGCTTGGCTTTTGTTGACATCACGTCGAACCAGTTACGAGTGTCAGCTCGATTTTCCCTATTTTTTCGCTTGCAACCCGAAATTCACGTGTCTGAGGTCACGGTGTGTCGATGATTTTGACAAATCGGTAACAAGGACGTGGCCACCTCTAAGGTCACACAATTTTCTGGGGGTATGTTTGTGGACCGAAGGTCTTAATATGCTTTTACCACACGTATGAAACTTAAGTAATCCGAAAAGACCCCCCGAATAGTAGGTGCTAACGACTAGATTTATATCAAGCACTTTTTCTTGGAGCTCATAATTTCACATTTCTTAAACACTTCTTCTTTGAGCTTTCAAAAACCAAGATAAATTATATATAACCTTAAGTGCCATTAACATAAGTTTGATTTAATTACCTTATTTGAAATGCATTTAATTGCTTTCTCTATAATTAAACCTTCTTAAAACTACAATTTAATTTTAATGGATATTTAAACACAGAAAGCTGCAATCGCTTTAAGGGATTTAAAACCTTTGTTTTCATTGGTGCCAATTAAAATATGTACGTACATTGTGTAATGTAGGTCGATGGCATGTATCGCTTACCGCTCGAAGGTTTTACGGGCGAAATGTTACAGTGTTTTACTGCCAACCTCAACTTTTCATTGCGCAGAATGCACAGGCGTTGGACAATGCATGGAACTCCACTGTTTATGATAAGAAAATGTTTATACACGGGAAATATGGCACTGAATTTTCCATATTTGTGCACGCAGCAGTAAACAGAGGGATGATGTAAAATTACACTCGAGGGCTAAATGGCGGACAAGGATTGTGAGTTGAGATTGTTAATTAATGTTTTATTGCCGTTTGACTCAATTATTCGTTAAACTGCTACGCTACCTTTCGTTTGCATTGAGTGCCTGATTAAATGGCTGGATAAACTCGAGCATAATGAGTAATTAAGCGGTTAAGTGCCGCGCATAAAAGCCTCAAGTTCCGCGCCTCCGTCGCTGCAAACCATAAACCCCTTCCCCGCCCCGCCCCTTTCCCCCCTCAGATTTATGCCAAGCGCAGTCGGCACTCGGCTTTCTGAATGGATTTCTTTAAAATAAAAGCAAATCAAAGTGAAATACATTCAAGCACCATTTGGTCGGCAAGTGTTTGCCTGCAGTACCGGAGGATCCAACAAGTTATTCAGCTGGCTAAAGACGCTTTTATCTCGCTTTTTCGCCGCACAGACGGGGCCCCCAGAAGGAAATGCGGCCAAGTGGTGAGCAGTTAACACAACACACATGCACTCCATCCACTTCAAGCCTCCCCGGCACTCGGCGTCTGGCATAGCATTTCTCTCTGGGTCTGTGGGCCAAATTGAGTATTAAGTATTTGGAAATTTTCTGTAAAAATAAAGTAAAAACCTCAACGTAAAAAAAGGAAAATGAAGGCAACAGGAAGTGCTCCACACACACACTCACACAAATATGCGGAAGCGGAAGCACTCACATTACCCAACATTCACACACACACATATCAAAAGTAGCGCAACCCAAAGAGAACTTTCAGACTGATGATTACTCCACCCCTTTTGACCGCCAGACATTGATGCAATCTTCAGGTGGAAGCTTTAAAATGTTTGCAGGGAAAAATATAATTTGCAACTTTGTAGCTTGTAACAAAGATTTTGTGTATTTGTAAAGTACAAGTCATTTGTTTGATTTTAAACTTATTTTGCAACTAAGGCAGGCTTACAAAGTTACACCTTTTTAATTTCTTGAGTTTTTTGTATGATGTTTGTACACTTAAAGAACTTAGTAATGACTTTTCAAGTGTCGCAATTCGCTTTAATATAAATGAATCTTCTATGAGGAACATAATAGGAACATAAATAGTTTCTTAACCAAAACAACTTACAATTACTTACCCGATATTTTAATGTTCAAAACTGCAGGGATGATGGAAATGTCAAAAATCTGTATTCGAAATACCAATATCTAATAATTAAGTGCGATTGGTTCTGCAGCACAATCTCTGCCGACCAGTGTAATATATCATCAAATAACTTTCATGATTTTATGTATTCTTTATTTTTGTAGCCTTGGCTTTGAATACTACAGAAGATACACATCAATTTAGTTTTATGGCCATAGCTTTCGATTTCTACTTGGCCCAAGGGGGCCATTTTCGGTGATCCCTTTCGGCATTTCAAGTTATTTATCTGCATGCTAAGATTTTGAACAACTTTGAAAGCGATTTTCCTTGATAAAGTAAAGCCAATTTGTGTTACCTTAATAAAGTTGTCTATTTTATGATGATTTTTTTTCCCGAAATTTGTATTGAGTATAATTTAGTCAATTAAATTGCTTGACCCCAAAACCAGCAGAAGGCATTTTCGGCCAAGGAACTGCGTCATTGCGGCATCTTTTGGCCATTTTTCTTTCAATCTTAACTTTTCCTTAGCTTGTGGCGCATTTCGGCCGCATTCATTCCTCACTTTAAGTCTCGACATTTTGACTCGCAAATTAAAATAAATGGCATCACATTTTTTCTTTGAGATTTCTGCTGTTGTGCTCCATCTCTTTTATCTTCTCGTCTCTCTCCAAAGTGGATATTTAAACGACATTAAGTTGACTTAATTTCAACGCCTTGAATTTACCCGGCATCTTCAAGTTTTTCCCTTTCCGATAACGCAAAAAAATGGGGGAAAAAAAACAGGAAAGTGCCGCGAACAAAAGGGCAAGCAATTTGATTGTAACAGATTTAATTACAAAGTTCCGACCAAGTCGTGTGTTAAATTTGACCAAAAAGTTCATAAAAATGCATAATCTTAATGTCCAGCTAATGAGGCGTAAACAAGTCACGGGTTTGAGTTGGGCGTGCTTTCAACTTTTTCCTTTAACAAATTAAATGTAATTTGTTACGCAAATTGAGCACGATCTGACAAAGAGCAGATACTGAAAAGCGATGATGTGTAGCTAAAATCGTTAAAAAACACTGAGGATTAAATAAAGGTTAATTATCAAAAAAACTGAAAGCAGCATCCACCTTTGTACATATTATTACAAGCCAATTTGACCTTGTGAACAAATTATGTATAATTAAATATTCTGAATAGTTAGACAATGAATAAAAGTTAAATGAAATACTGGGAGAGTGCTTTTCAAAATATTTCAGGTTTATTTTACCATTTAAAAATGTACTTAACGATACTTTATTTTATTTTGCCTAAAATCGTAGATAAAAATAAAATGTTCTCTTTATTTGGTTTATTAGTATTCTTTCTCGTCTTGTATAGCAACAATTTGCACATTAAACTTAAGATTAATTCCAACAATTTGCAAAACTTAGATTTCTTGTCATGCAAAAATATGTATCCGAATCATTCTGGTTTATCTATTTAGAAGTATTTCCCGTTTTTTATATAAAAAGCCACGTTTAAGTACTTTTCTTAAACACTGCACGCTAATAATAAATCACTTTAGACCTTTGTTGCTGTTCAAACCCACAGCCCGCTTATTCGAATGCCCATGTGTAACAACCAAAATGTTTTGGGAGTCCTAACTAGAAAACCCGATACTGCTAAAAGGACTTAACCCTAGGGACTCTCTAAGGCATTTGCAGGCTTTGTTTCTATAACTCTAATTAGGAACACAGACGTGTGGACTTTTCTATGTGTGGTTGTGTCTTTCTTGGGGGAGTATATAGAATAACGCATTGGACTTTGAGACGAGATTGGTTTCAGCTAAAGGTAAATAAGCTACTCTGGGCGGTGGCTAACACCGCCTATATATTATATATTGGCTAAGCACACAGCACATCTTTAAGCAATTAAGTACACTTTCAGTTTCCCAAAGATAGTTAAAACCTAACATTACACTACATCTTAAAGCCCTAAATTTCATTCAATCATTATGGGGGTCACTCTCATAAATGCAGTCAACGATGATATAAATACGTGAAATAGGAGATTTTTGTGCTTCCTTGAGGCTATTGGGAGTAAGGGTAAAACATTTTTAGATTGTCACAGGAAAGGAAAGGACTTGATTGTTAAGGGACACTTAATTGGGAATTGTAGGCAACGTTATATTGGGTTTATGTAAAAGTTATTCATGCAAACTATAAGGGATAAATAATGTCTTTGGATGATGGTTTTTTGAATACCTGTAAAAAATAAATAACTGACAAAATTAAACATTTACACAAAGAAACTATTTTCAATGGGAAAAAACTGAGATTATACCTATAAACATTCATAGTAATACTTTTTCTATTAATCTGACTCACATTCACAAATAACTAAATCATTCACACCCTTACTAAAAATCTACCACTGATTTCTGACTAAAACTTTAAACTTATCCCTACTTTTGCTGACTTAAATTCATAAAAAGTTTTTTGGTGTTTGTTGTGGAACCCGCTACCGATCCAGCACCTGCATCTAAAGCTTAGAGATTAATCGTATCGAGGTCCTGACAGGGAGCACGAGGACTCATGTCGTCCGTGCCGCCGCTGCCCCTCCCATTTTCTCCCCCCATCATCCGTCCATCAGCAGTTATATCCGCCATCGACGAGTGATTTTGGTTTTGGTTCTGTCGCAGATTTGTGTTGTTGTTGGCCATATGCTGGCCGGACACGTTGTTGGTCTTTGAGGCTGGTCCATCTGCCGAATTTAAGTTGTTGTGTAGCGCCTGTGTCTTCTTGGTGCCCAAACCCAAGGGAAAGGCAAAGTCCTGCGGCAGCTTGTGCATTATCTTGCCGGACGTGATCAGGCGGCCAAAGCCCTCCTGGAAAGGGTAAGAAGAATTGGAAATTAATAAAGTTAATAATTGAACCTTTTAAACTTTTTAAGCAGTTGTACTTACCTGATGGGCAAAGGCATAACCTGATCGTACTGAACGACGTCCGCGACGAGATGAAGCTGTACGCCTTACATCGCTGGAGGCTCTCGAATGAATCTTCTTCAAGGACTTTTGACGGATCTGTAAAAAACGTAGGATGTATTAAGGAAACAACTTTGTATTAATGACCCTCACCTTATCCGAAAGGCTCGGATAAACATCCAACAGGTAGAACTTATAGGCCAAGACAGGCGCTACTAGAGCCATCACAGTGATCAACATGGTGACCCAAAAAGTGAGATCCTTCATAGCCTGCGTCAAGGAACCCACATAAGGGCCTCCAATCACATAATTGTAGAAATAGTCCAGTACAAAGTACCAAATCAAGCTACCCCAAATAGTCACATGATTGACAACGGTCCAATAGGAGGTGTACAGAGATATCTAAAGAATAAATGAGGTATATAAATGATTTTTAATATAAGATAAATTACAGAACACATCGTCATTAGGCGCACAATTATTTGTTTTAAAATAAGGGTAAGCCGGCAAAAAAGTCTCTTGGGTAATTACTTAGTACTGATTTCTGGTAAGCTCTCAAAGTATTAACCTTTAACCCCAAAATTAAGGGTGCAATAGAAAGAAAAGAAAGTAGACTTACCTGTGCTGTATTGTCCACTATGAGAATGGTGGCCACAACTGCCCCCAAAGTCATATGGTCACTAACAATGAATCCGTTCGCCGAAACGCCGTCCTTGTAAACGCCGTAAGGAATCAGGAACAAAACCAGCGAAGTGAAGGCACCGTGCAACACGCTGTAGATGAACTCGCGTATGTTGAACAGCTCGCTTTTGAGACCCGGAGTGTAGAGGCGTGGGAACTCCAAGCTGTTCTTGTCCGAGACATCCTGTTCAAAGACGCCCAACGCCAAAACGGGCAAGGATGTGTAGAACAGATTGTAAACCGATATGAACATCGGGTCGAACACCGTCTGCGGTTGGGATTCAATTAGAGGGGATTTTCAAAAGCACCTTTAGACAAACGCACCTGAGCGCTGAAGCCGCAAAAGAGCGAATACCAGCAATGGCACAGGGTAAATGCAAAGTTCTTGTAGAAAAAGTATCGTAGAAATTTGCACATGCGGTAGTAGGACCAGCGACCATGAACCAGCAATAATCGCTCAAGGTATCGAAATTGGGCAATGGAGTAGTCACTGGATAGAACGGCCTGTAAACCTTCTTGGCCAGAGATACCAACTCCTATGTGGGCAGCTGTAAAAGGGATTATAGGTACTAAGAGTAAATATACCCTAGTTTAAATCATACCTTTAATCATGGACACATCATTGGCTCCATCACCAATGGCCAGGGTGACTGCGTTTTTGGCACGCTTAATTAGCTCGACGACCAGCGCCTTTTGAAGTGGTGTTACCCGGCAACAAATGACCGCCTTGCACTGCGAGGCTATGTCCAGAAATCTAAACAAATCATTATAAATTATACATTTGTAAAAACAAAAATTATATAGAAGTACACCCACTTGTTTTCCAATTCCGGCGACAGGCAGTGCACCAAGGAGTGACCATTGACAACCAAGGCAAAACCGGTGTTTTCATCTATCACAATGGATGCAGTGCCTCCATCTTCGCTCCTCTTTTCATCGCCGAACAAATCATTGCATTCAGCACTGTTTAAACAAACCAAACCCTAATTAAATTCTATATTATAACATGATATTCAACAAACAAAATGGTAATGTTAACGGCAAATTTTAGTGAAGAGAGTGATACGACTTAATGAGTTATATGTACAGATATAGACAAGCAACTACTTTGCATGAGACACCGAAGAAGAAAAACTATTTAGTTAATGAAGAAAACTGGACAGTGACTGTTTGTTTTTGTGGTTCTGATATTGGTTTTGGTTTGGACTAAAATTTTAGTTTATTTTTTGTACAAGCAATGAAAAACAGACAGAACTCAAACAGATGCTGGGTGTTTTGAATTTGTACGAAATATTTTGTAAGAAAAAATATAAAGATATAGTTTACTTGACGGGCGGAACAAGCACCAATAGAGGGTTACATCCTTTGGTGGGTAGTTTAACTATGTTCTCTTTTAAAATTCACCTTTATCTAAACATCAGTTAACACGAATAATATAGGAAGTATTTGACTAATTGTAATTTCAGCCAAGCTGTCCTTTAAGAACAAAATATAAGGGATCTTAGGAAAGGATTTCTAAGATAAAATATCTAAGATCTAAGATTGATAAAGTAAAGAATAATGCACTTTAACACATAGTTAATACACTGTAAATTATAAAGCGTTTTAGGCATAACTGGAAACACTTAAAGAAGTTGTAGACATTTAGCTAAAGTAAGTTTAAATAAAAGAAAGATTCTAGCTTTTCTACTCAGGTTAAATTTCACTTCAGCTAGAAACATGTTTGGAAATTCTTTAGATTTTATAAGCTAAACTATTTGAATTATTTGAGTAATTTTTAAGGATTGCCCTCTACCTGTCCGGTCCGCCCTTATTATCCTTAATTTTGTCATCCCACCTAAAGGTAACCACCGAAATGGCAGGCGGTGGAGGCGGAGTGGGCGGGAGATTCGTTTCCTGCATAAAAGCCGACGTTTGTGTCATTGTCACACTCATCGGATCCATGTTACTGTCACTATTCATTCGGTCAAAAGGATCCATGCCTAAAAAAGGTTACGTACAATTTTTAAGTATTTGTTTATTAATTTGATGTGCGCATTTTCATTTTTGAAAGTTTTTTTTTGGTAATTACTTACCTCCTGGTCGAAATCTGTTGTATATTTTAATGGACTCCTTAAACTGTCTTAACTGTTTTTCAACCTCTTCCACCGAGTTCCCATCTACTATAAAGACATCAGCCAGCTCATCAGTAAGCAGTTGACAGGAGTAACCGATGTTAATAGCAGTTTCTTATAACGAAATAAATAAAATAATTTTTTTCAACCTTTAATATAGTTTCCCATCCTAAACTTACCCTGCTTGTCACCCGTGAGAACCCAGATTTTAATGCCTGCATTTTGCAAATTGGCAATCGACTTGGGCACACCGTCCTGCAGTTTATCTTCGATGGCCGTTACTCCAACCAGCTGCATATCGCTTTCGATTTCCTCGTAGATCTCGTTCAGCTTTTGTTCCCGGGAATCCATCGAAAGGGCGGCCTCCTGTTGCCTGGATCTCCAGTCGTTGTAGTACTGCTCGGTTAAGCGCCTTTCGGCTAAAGCTAAAGTTCGCAGGCCTTCGCCGGCGAATTTCTAAGGGAAATTATTTTATTAGTTAAATATGGGAATTATAATCCCTAAGACAACCTACATTGAGGTGGTCCTGCGTGCGCGCCTTAAGATCTTCCTGTCCGCCATGCAGACGATCGTATATCACATTGTCCGCTCCTTTGCAGTAGAGCACCACTGAGTCTCCGCGCCGGAGGATCACAGACATCCGCTTGCGGACGTTGTTAAAGTCAAGGATATTCAGGAGTTCATATTCCTGTAGCGATAGTAAATTATTAATTTCAAGTTATCCTAAATCTAAAGTTCTTGATTAAGTTTATAATTGTATGTTTATATTAAATATAGGTTCTCACAATCATTATATCACTCACCTCCATCTGACCCATAACCTCGATGGTAATACTATTCGGTGTTCGTGTGCGAAAGACAAAGCCGAAATTGCGAGCGGCCGAAACGAGAGCGGCTTCATCGGGACTTTGGGCCTGATACTCCAACTTCCCGTCCACCGTTTCGGCCATGACCGTGTGACAAAGGGCTAAGAGTCGGAAAAACACGTGGGAGTGCTCCTCATCCGAACGGACAGCATCCAGCAACGTGCGATCGTACCACCGGAATTCCCTTTCGTGGTGAGGATTGGCCGAAAAGTCAACACTTTGGAGAGCCTGTGGAAAAAAGGTTGTATTAATTTATGAACTGGCATTGAACAGTAATGTTGTATTAACTGTAGGTTACTGTACGTTAAGCTTGGCTGTATACGATATTAAGCAATGTTAGCACAATTCTTAGTAATATTAGTCCCAAAGTTTTCAAGCTTAATAGCTAATTGTTATGGTACTTAAAACAATTTTTAGTGGTTTCGTAGCTTAATGTTTAACATCCCTTTTACAACTTAAATTTTTGTATATTAGTTGAACAAAATATGTGTGTATATTTCAGCAGGACTTAGAGCATAAACGAAAATGAACTAGTAAATTAAAAAAAAAACTTTTATCGCGAATCATAATATAACGATGAAAGTGAGAAATAAAACATAACTAAAGTGACTGTAATGGTTAATCTTTAAAGTAACTCAATAAAAAAGTTTGTTGTAGTTATGAGCAATTGAAGCTGAAAAGAAAATAAAATCTTTGGTTTGGCAAGAAAAAGTCTTGTAAACTAAAAGTAGATTTTAAACTGCATAAATTTATAAGTTTTTTTTTGTTGAGTTCAAAACTTTCTCTTCTTTTTAATCGAGACAAGAAAACAGTGTTTATAGTACTTTCAGCATGATACTTAAAGCACAAAATTTGAGTAAGGCAAGTCCTTCAAGAGCATTTCGTTCAATGTTCGAGTGAAAGCAGTAAACATACAAACAAAATATATATATGAACATGTGTATATCAAACAGATTTACATGAAGCGATAATTTTGGGTGTGAATTGAAGGACATGCAGCATGCATACGTGCACTCTGTGAGGCGACGAACTCCAATTGGTGGCGAATGCTTTGTGGTGGTGCTTAGTGGTGCTCGGTTCGCTGAGGTGCAAGGTGGACTGTGGCGCCCCATCGTGTTGGGACTCGAGTTGGTGGCAGTAGGGAACGCCCAGCGTGACTGTCGATGGGGATTTCTTGAACCGGATCTTGACTAATCGCTTGCGTTGGTGCTTTGGATGGTGCGAGTTGTGTGTTTCTGTTTCTGTTTCTGTCTGTTCATTGTCATGCAAAATCTTTACTTTGTCGCAGCTGCTTGTGCGGGACAATTGTCGCTGCACAAATCCCGCTCCGCTGCGCTTGAAGCCGCCGCTGCTCCTTCGCTCCTCGTTGATGATGGGTGGACTCAGGCCGCCTCCACCACTCAAACGGGACTGCGGTGACAGGCCACCCGGTTCATCGTCCTGGCTCCTGCTGGGTGCCGAGTATCGCACCTGCTTCAGTCCTTTGTGCTGCCTTTCAACGGATTCTGTCGCCGAGGCAGGATGCTCGAGTTCCGATCGCGGGGACACGGGAGTGCTGGCCACTTGCGCCTCCCCCGTGGCGGTGACCACCAGGGAGCTCTTCTTGGCGTGCACCTCCGCCTTGTGCACTAGGATGATGGGGGGTGGTGCTGCTGCAGGTGGCGCTATCGAGGCTCCACCTGCGGGACTGGGTCGGTTGTTGGTGTTGCTATTTTGGAAAATTGTTTGCTGCTATAACGAGTAATGTGAGTTGTTGTTTTTTGTTTTTTTTTTTCTTTCTTTTTCTTTTGTTTTGTACATTGCCAGACGCACAATTAGACAAAGACACACACACCGTGGAGTTTGGGGAGAGATCAAAGTTAAAGTTTGACTTGAACACCCAAAGAAGAAGGCTAAGGCTGGTATTTCTACAGCCAGACAGTGCAATAAACGGACACCGACACACACAAGACAACATACCCTCAACCAAGTTGGCGGTTAAATCGGTTTAGCAGACCCGAATAACCCCTTTGGGCCACGTACCTCCGTTATCTCGATTAGCTCCCCCGTCCGCAGGTCAATCACATCGCCGTAGCTGCGTCCGTTGATGCTGCACTTGTTGAACGTCATGATGTTCTGGGTGAGGGTGCCCGTCTTGTCCGAGAAGATGTACTGGATCTGGCCCAGCTCCTCGTTGAGCGTCGTGGTGCGGGCTTTGGCATAGGTATTGGTGGTCGCATAGTACATCTCCTCATCCCAGTTGATGAGGAACGACTGCACAAAGCGTATTACCTGTGGGCGATTACGTATGACATATATATTGTGCATGGAGCTCAAGCATTGTGAAGCACTTTGTACCTACCTCTACTGAAACGTAGAGTGAGATTGGCACAACTGTGTTTAAGACTATGGCATACGAGAAGAACACCAGCAACCCGATGACGGTGGCCCCCGTGGGTATGTACTCCTTGGGTATGATGTTCTCCCAGGGCAGATACAGCTGGAAATGCTGCCCAATGAAACCCTCCCACACGGCACAGCCGATCGCAAAAAGGGCGCAAATCGACACCAGAAAGAGCACGATCTAAAAGGGATTCAATAGTAACATTTAAAAAGGCTCTTAAGTCTTTGTCTCGTAGTTATCTCACCCCAATGATAATAAAGTTGAGCAGGCGATCAACACCTGTGCTTTTGAACTGCGTCTTTCCGGAATTCTGCATCAACTTGGTGTCCACTCCGGCGAAGACCACCACACCATAGCACCACTGCGTGTTCCGTAGAACACATCCCCTCAACAGGATCTTCTCGTTGTCCAAAGCGAACCTCTGTCCCCGCCAGATCAAGGTGCCATCGAATTTATTCAGCAGGTTGTTGGGCCTCTCGCAGATGATCTCCCCGTTGAAGTTCCACAGCGAATCATGGCGATCGCCCAGCTCGATGGTCTCCGTAAGGCATTGTTTCGCCTTTAGGTTCGTCTCACCATCCAGTTCCGCGGTCTCGATGAAACAGAGACCATTTGGCTCGGATGTGGACAGCAGCAGGGTGTCGGCTGCCACGAACTGATTGTTGTCCAGCCGGATCACATCGCCCACCTGCACCTCCGACCACTTGGCCTCCACCAACTTGCCATTGCGCAGTGTTTTCGACTTGCGATTGTTCACCTGCGAGTCGGACAGATGACGTTGCTGAAAGAAAAACACAGAACAATTTACGGAGGCTGGCATTATAAACAATTTGTTTACTTGGATTTTATATATGATTTGATGGCTCATTTCAGGCAATGGCAATTTATCTTCATTTTTAAACTTACTATATCATCGTAGGCATCCTTCACGGCAGTCAGAGTGAGTACTCCTATCAGGGGAATGGCTGTGGTCACGGGGGTCAGCGAGGATATCGCGGGTATCAGCTGAAGGACCAACAGACACAGGAAATAAAAGTTGGCCAGCCGCTGGAATTGCTCCAGAAGATTGAAAGGCAGGAACGTAAACAGCGAATACTTGGAGGTCTTGATGTAATTGTTCTGAGCACAGAGAATAATTAACGATTTATCATTGAGTTTATATATATTCTTAAAGAAACCTACGTGATACTTGAACTGGGCATTAAACTCTTTGTCGTTGGCGCGGATTCTGCGTTCGTTTTCTGCGAATAAAAATTTTGTCATTAAATTAAAGTAAAAAAAATTATAAAAATGATTGAGGTATTATATTAAACTATTATAGGCGTAGAAATGTGTTAATAATAATTAAAGTAGTATTATAGTATTTAATTTATATTAGCCTTAAAACATATTTTTTCCAGCGACTTCTTTCATTACCCGAAAAGTAGTACGAGCTGCGGCGCCTTCTTAACTGGGACATGCGCCTCAAATTGGTAGAAGATTTGGACTCCGAGGCCACCGAAGGATCCCTCTGCTTGTACTGCTCCTGGTCATCGGATCTGTTTGCTGATTGGTTTTCGGCTCCAGGAGCCAAGCTGTAGAAGCTATCATTGATCATCAAAGGCGTGGCAATGGTTTGTGTGGAGCTGCCAATGTTCATTCCCTCCGGCTGGGCGAGACACGCCTTCCGACTGTCATCCTGAGCTGAGTTCCTTCTGCCCGGCTCTTCGGCCTCCTCATCTTCATCGCAGTGCAGTCGTTTCCTGCGATTTTTTGAGCTCCTGGCGAACTGAAACCAGCGCGTTCTTCTACCGTTTGCCGGACTCGAAGTTTCCTTGGCGATATTTGCAGATCCTTCTTCATTTCCGTGTCCCGTTGTTGGTTCATCCTCCTCCTGCTGTTCAGAATCCGCAGGATGGCCACCCAGAACGGCCAGTTCCAGCGTGTCCGGACGCTGGCGTAACCGCCGGGCGGCCTCGCTGCATCTTCTGCCCCCAATCATGACCAACTCAGGCTGCAGATGGCACAATCTCGATATAGCAGTACCTCATTACTCTTCATTCTACAAGGGGAAAGCGAAAGTTTAACGTGTTGCCAACTCCCCGGAGATTAAAATGCAATTGAAAACCCATCGGCACCGAAACAAACTTCCCTGGGGAACTGGCCCAATGAAACTGTACCATCCATCATTTTGATAGACTGCTCCCCTTTCAGCTCCGTTGTTGAAAAGCCCCAAACAGCTGGAAGCGATTCTCATCAGACTGCGAGTGTTTGCACGCATATGTCTGCCCAATAAATAAATAAACAAATTTCTGCTTTGATTTCGGATACCCAGGGGGAATGGCTTTTGAAGGGTATGTTACATACTTGTTGGGCTTTTTAAATACAGCAACGTGGGCTGATTTGCTTTAAAATTGTAAGCTTTATCTGAAACCTTTTGAAAATAAAGCACCACAACTTTATTTATTGGTATTTTAAATAAATACAAATTAAAAAGTCCAATGAATTACAATCAATGCTTACATACCTTCACAATGAAGGCAATACACCCTGTCACCCTACAAGTAATGGGTAAAAATATCATGTTGATATCAATAAAACAATTTATTGGTTTAAGTGTTTAATTGCTGAATATGAAAAGGCATTGTAGGCTATTTTAAACTGGTTGACTGCCACAGCAGGCTATCTCTTTCCTCACAAGGAAAATCGTTGTAAATTATGTTCTTGTAATTCGATTATAAATTCTTCAAACAATAATTTATTGAATGAGATGTAAGCCAAAAAACATCGCAAACCGATTTTAGGAGAGACGCTAATTGATTTCGGAATGCTTTTCGTTTGTTGTTTCAATATAATTTATTGAATGTACCACGATGCATTGTTTTCGTGGGGCTTTGTTTTGCCAATTCAAATTAGGGAAGTTGAACTATGCATACGTGAATGTGTATATATATGTACATGTTACTTGATCCCCATTAACACCCTTGTAAGGCCGTATATATTTGTCTAACAAATCGAACATACTGCAAACTATTAATGAGGCCTGAACAGGTATGTATGAATCTACTTCTCAATGCTAATAAAATTAAAGTTAAAGTTTAGGTGAAGTACAGATTGGTTCAAATAGTTTTAAGTGGTTCGTTTTCTTTAGTAAACTTCACTATATTTTATTGGACTGTATTCACTGTGGTTTCAATACCAAACGTTTACGCCTTGAGTTGTAGGAATTTTCTCGGAATTTTTATGTGAGCACATCTGGTTGCATTATGCTTGAGCACTGGACTACAAACAGCTCGGATGTTTACTTTTCTGCTTTATGTCCGATTGAGTAAATCTGCAGTAAGCACTGCGCTCCGACCCCACTAAGTTGCCTTGGTGTTTGTTATTCTAAACTCAACACTCAACAGGTGTCCCTTATTCGGGCAACAATAGAAAGGAAGCTGCAGAAAAGAAAAGTCCTCTCTCTTTTGTTCTCTTTCCTTCCATAAATTTGGGTGAGCGGGTGGCAGTCAATGTCAAACGTGTTGTCAAGGCCACGGCGAATGCAGCCGAGCAAGGATATGAGAGGCACAACGGTAAAGGAAATCGGAAATTGGATCTGAGACGAAAAGTTAAGCCACAGTTTTTGTCTCTTTACAGAGTATAATAAAGCGAATCGGCAAAAGTTTGACCCCACATCCGCTCGATTTCCATTCACACTGCTCCGCAAACAAGCGGTATTTTTTTTGTTGTGTGCCCAAGGACTTGGGCAGTCACAGCTGATAGGAACTCTCTCCTCTAAAAACTTGTACTCTCTCTCTCTACACAAGAAAAAACCGCATGATATTAAAAAATGTAAGAAAACGATTAACTTCCACTGGTGCCTTTATAAATATTTTAAAAATCATTTAAAATATTCTTTAGAAAAACTGACAATATTAATTTACCGATACTTTTGTATTTTTGTTTGTTTGTTAGCCATATAATTTTCTGTGAGTATGGCAACAACAAAGCCGGCTACCTCTCTTTTTCTCCTCAGCGATATCCTGCTACGAATATGAGTCATTCATGTGAATGTAAATATGCTCCTTGCTCTCAATTTGTTTCGCTGTCTTGAGTTGTTTTTGCTGTCCGTGTTTCCTTCACTCGCATGCGTCACCTTTGGGTGGCGTTGAAGGGGGAGGCGGAAACAAATTAACTACAAGAAAAGGCCAAAAGAATCGATGAAGGCTCAATAATTATGCTGAGAGCACGAAAAACACAACAAAACAGGGGCAAACAGGGAACATGTTCGGTGCCAGGTGCCAAATGCATCATCATTCGCCCCTCCTTTCTTCCTCTTCTCTTTCTCTGCCCCTTTCACCCAGCTTCGTACATTTTTAGCACATTTATTGCACTTATTTTGCACCGCTTGCGTTTGATTTTTGCGAATTTTCGCTGCACTTTTCTTAGTTTTACATAGGGTTTTTCGCGGAATCACTGAATATGTTTAGGCACGGCAACTGCAACTCGAATTTTCTGAGAAGCAGGGATTAAAAAAATTGCCTCAAGGCAACGCGAAACGCGAAGCGGTCCGCAGCGCGATAAACAAAAAACGGCCAAACGCCAAAGCCAAATGGCCAACTGCCGCGCAAAGTGCGGCCAAAATGAAAGACGGCGACTGCGACGGCGGCGCCGACTGCGCTGCCAAGGCAACCGTTAGCTTGGCAACCGATTCACACACACTCTGAAACGGAAACGGTTTGAAGCGGTTCGAAACGGCTAAGAGTAGCAAAAAGAAGAGCTTGGCTCAAAAGAGAGCTATTGAAAAAGCTTGGAAATCCAAAGTTTGCTTTGCCAACTATTTCATGTGTGGGCTGAGCTGATCTTAGGTTCAAAGGGTCAAAGCACAATGAATAATAAATTCCATTTACAACTGCGGCTTAAAAGAGAAGAGTAATTACTAGGCTTAAAGCAAACCCTATACAGTATTTTTAGTTGGCCTCAGCAGACATGATCAACGATCTGCGGCCAAAAGGCATTAGCTGATAAACAGAAAACAGTAGAAGGAAAGAATGGCAAAGACGAAAACATATACTCATGTGTCTGCTACTAAAACCAATGTACAGAAGCTTTACAAGTTTGCTTTTTAGATCGAACCATAGACTCTTTACGGCGGAAGTTCGGCTAAACTTATAGCCCTAACTATTTTTAAAGAGTGCTTCATGGTCAAGTTAAAGTACGAGCTTGGGGATTATAAACATTCTTAACATTCTTATATCTGCATTCAAAATCAGGTATTGCTGTAAACTTTGTAACAAAAAAGGAAGTTCACTGTAGTTTGTTAACTATAAATTAAATGTAAGTCCCAGAAAACATTGGTAAGGGAAAAGACACATTCAGATATTAATAAATTTTAATGTTTACTGTTAAAAAACAGATTCATTTATTATTTAGAATGTTAACTACAAGTTGTTCTTTTTATGTCGAAATCGGTAGGGTGTTTCCCTGTTCGCCGTGGCCAAAAGTCGGTCAACAATTTCCCAAGTTTGTCAAGCATAAAAATGAGCAAATTTCGTAAGTCACCCCAAGAAGAAAACTACGGGACAAAAACTCGAGAGAGAACAAGAGAGGCGCCAAACAAATTAGAGGTTCTTTCCCTTGCTCTCGCACGTGAAAAGAAAGTGCACTCTCTCTTGCTCTCCCTCTCTTTTGTTCATTCAAATGGGCAGCAATGTCAATGTCAGAACTAAAAAAAATTATTATTGGGGCTTGAAGAAGTGGCGCATATGGGTTAATGAATGATTGCAGGGGGCGGGAAAGTGTAATCATACCCCATGCACACTGCTTTATTATTTTCCTTCCAGAACAAAGCAAACTCAATCAGCCAAACAACCAATGCACATATAAAACGAATTCCCATTGAATAAAGAAATTGAAAAAGATAGATTGGGTAAATTTTGTTTTGCGGTTTTTGTGGCTAATAAAATTGCAGGCGCGTAATGTTTTTAAAGCTTTCAAAAGATGTGCATAGAGCAATTAATAAAATAGCTCTTTCATCAAAGCTCTTGTGCAAAAACAAATAAACTAGTGTTGCATTTATTTTCAATAAACTGTAGAACAATTACAACTGATCTAGAGCAGAGAACTGAATACAATGGGGTTGATTGCAGGAAGAAATTTACTACAAATAGAATTTGATCGAAATTGGTGAGAAATGTTAGGAATTGGGAGTGCGATAAAATAGGACTTTAAGCTTGATTTGTGTGAAATGAGTGAATTTTATGCAACTAAATACATGTTTTCTGTTTTTAACTAGTTTGATTAGTAGTATCCTAGTACATTGAGTTAACACACTAACAAGTCAACAAGTACCCACCCTTGAATTGTAATAATTCGCATTCATTCATTTCATTCATTGAGCGGCCAAAACAAGGCGCCTAATAAATCGAAGTGCCGTTCTGGCCAAGCTCAAGGCACTCACGCACACGCATCAATATACAGACATATATGTGTGTTTACTTGGACTCCCCCGCACACACACACACACACGCAAGCAATTGGTTAACGGCGCCTTTGTGGAATAGTGTCATGGCCAAAATCGAGCAACGGTCGGCTTTTTGTTAGAGTTTCTCGTTGACTTTCCCTGCAATTGGTTTAGCAACGCCAAAGAACTGGGTCACTATCTGGCCGAAATCAGTAACAACTGTTCAACTTTTTGCCACCCTGATGGCGAGATTTCCCAATCTCGAATGCGAACGGATTTGAGCAAAATCAATTTGTGGAGCGGATCGTATTTAGATATGTTGCGTATTGATTCGTATGGTGTGTTTTATTTAGTCTTAATTTAATAATAATTATTTAATTTAGCCTATATATAAACCCCATTTTTTTGGGACCATCTTTAGAAGTGAATAGCCGTAAACATTTAATCTATTAAATGAAAGTCTAAAACAGTTTTGTTGTATTTATTTAACTTTGTTTAGCTTTTGTAATGTTAACTATTTTCATATTTTTGCACGCCAATTCGTGTGCCGAATATATAACTTTATGATAACTTATTCCATTGCTATAAATTACTTCCTCCCTGTTTGGTAGTCTTCCAGAAACTTCTTCTGTAAGCTGTTTACAACTTGAGTTTATTTAATTTTTAACTTTCAACTTTCTTTCCAATTGAGTAAGCAAAAACTCTTTTCCTAAAGTAAGTAGAACTCAGTAAATTCAACATTAAAGATTAGCTTGTTGTTTTGTGGCCACTCCACTTGGCAGATCAAGTGCCTGTCAACTTGACTCAAGTGTTGGCTTAGACTAAAAACTAATTCTTAAACATTTAAGAAGTTGTTTATTGGTAAACAACACGCACAATAAGCATTTTATATTAGCTTGATCTTTGTAACTGCTCTTCATGTCAACTTGATTGCATATCATAACTTTTAACTTTCACTTTCTGTCGTGCACTCACCTTTGGCCAATTGTGGTTGGGTTTTTGTGCCCATTATGAGGGAGTCCTTCGGGGATGTGGGTCCCTAGCGGGTTTCTATCTGATCTGATGGGGCCGGCAGTGATCACACGGCTGACGGCATCCAGGACAACTGGCCTCCGGTTCCAACTGCGATTCCGGCTCCGACTGCCGGGACTGCTGGCTGTGCTGGGCTGTCGTCGTGGCTGAGCGGACTGATTGGACCGAGCGGACGCCAACCTCCTCCATATGGCGGCCTTGTCGAGCCGCCGATGGCTGCCTGGAAATCAAAAAAGAGAGGACGGGAAAATGTGGATTCAGTAAGCATTGAAGTGATTCGTCATCGGGTGAAAAAGTTTTGTTTTTCCTAGATTTCTCTGTTGAATTTTTAATGGTGTTCATAAAGCTTTTTTTAAATGCTGTCAGCTGTTGACCTAGAAGCCACTGGTCAGTGGATGTGGGAAAGGATTGTCGGCCGCCCAGCTGGAAAACCAAGGCAAACTTTCCCCGAAACAAGTGAACTTGGGCTTGGTCTTCGCTGGTCTACTTAAATTTTGATGCGTTCACATGCTAATTGTCACACGACCGAGCTGATTTACTGGGGTTGGGGCCTGATGTGTCCATTAGCAGCTGTCCCCGTCGTGTAACTGCCATGAAATGTAAATACGCCCCCCAGGATGATGTCCTTGACGGGTTACAGGAGCTGGCAAGGACTGCCACTGGGCGTATACGTAATGCAACCTGCACTAATTGCACGTAGGCGGGGTTTCCTTTAAATGCTGGCGTAATATTTCATAATTCATTTGCGTACCGGATGCACACAAAACTAAGGTAAAATGATGATTGAAAATTAATTAAAGCAATTACAACGCCTGGCAAACAAAACAGACCCAAAGTAAATACACAGAAACGATTTGCCTAATGTGACTCACTCCGGCGACTCGTAAACAAAGCAAAAACGAAGTACAAAAGGCAGATGAGAAAAGTTGCGAGTGCACATGAACCCGGCAGAAAAGAAAACAAAGTTGAGATTGAAGCGAATTGTTAATGCTCTTCCTTTAAAAAAAATTAATGGGTACTGCACGAAAAGTAGAAAATAAATGTGATCAAAGGAATCAAACAAAATTAAGTGTAGTATTACAAGAAAATTGATTTAATAAGGAATCATTTCATTATTCTCAGAAAACTTTTAGCTGTAAATAAGCAAAGTACCCTATTAAAGTAGCTTAACCCTATGCTAATTGCAAATAATAAGAGTCCATTCATGAATAATAAACAAACGAGCGATTTGTGTGCCGATCGCCAGTCCCCAATAGGTCACTTGATTGGAAGACTTTGTTGATCGTTCGTTCTCCGAACGCATTCCCCTTGTCCCCAATCTCAAGAGTAAGTGACTAAGTGGCAAAAACCCAACGAAATTGCTTGCTGGATATTACTGATCGGTTGTGTGTCTTTAAGTATATTACAACTGGTTAGGCTGAAGTATAAATAAAGTGACAAGCCTAAAGTCTTAAACTTATTTAATTTATGAACAATAATTTTGTTTTAGCTGTTAACCAATCACATTTTTCCTTCCAGATTTTAATTAATGATATTTATCACAGAAATGCCGATTTTACCAAATGAAAATAGTCCATAGTTTCCAGAAATACTTAATCGACTTGGCGAACACCCGCAGAAATCATTATGTATGGCCGACACGTTAATTATGCATAATTATATTCATCTACATTATTTTCGATTGTTCTCCACGTTTTCCCTTCCCTGCGTTACATAAAATAGTTCGATATCTATTTATGGATCATTACTTGCCACGAAAAATGGGGACCTAATGTACCTTGAACTACTTAGCAGGTTAAATATATTTTATACAATTTTGGGTCATGCCAATTTAAATTATAAATATTTGATAAATATTATTAATAATAAGTATGAGATCAACTAAAAGTTTGAATGAATTTTGTTATCGTTATCGTTCGTTATACAAAACCAAACAAACATTAAACTTTTGTTTCAAATAGAAAAAGGCAACACAAATTGCTTCAATAATGTTTTTGTAAGTAATTTTATAGAAATATTCTCGTCATTATGAGACAAAGTAAAATAACAAATGGCTAAGAATTTCACAGTTGTCGGTTGTATGAACCGATAACGTGTAATCTAA